TAATATGCTCTCTTCACACAAACGAACTTTGTTTTCGGCATTTGGTAGAAGAGCTTGATGGGAAGACAACCTCAAAGACAGGGTTTTCTGGACCGGTTGGTAAGTTGCTTTTCAAGGTTACTGAAATGGAAAGAAATTACAGTTTTAAGCCAATATCTGTAGGTCCTGGTTTAATTGAACTTGATGAGGAAATAATAAAGGAGTTGTCTTTAGATCAGAAATATGCTTATAAAATATGCCAGGCAGTAATTTCAGGAACTCTTACTGAAGATTTGGCAAACCAAAAACTAGGCACTATAGTTCATTCAAGGTGGCTCAATACACGCTCTTCCTTACTTTTATTGTGGATAAACAAGCATGGGTCAGAGGGAGATGACCTAAGAAACTTAGAATTGATTGTTAAGTTTCATGTATCAGTATACTTCCCTATGGGGTTCCAAATCAAAGTGAAGCATAGCTGGATAGAAGGGCCATTGCACATCATGAACCAACTTAACCTTATCAAACTTCAAGATAAAAAAATACAAGAAGTTATTAAAAAGTGTGAGATCATCAGCATGGAATTCTCATTCTGAAGTCTTATTGCAGACATTACTTTGCAGCCAAAATAAAATTAAAAGGGAATTTGCTGTAAACAAAATTTTAAAAATTCTTTTAAAAAAGAGTTTATTTTATTTAGGTAACTGCAGCTTCTGAAACAGTGTTTGGTTTTGAGAGACGAGATGGATTTATTTGTGCAAGAGCAGAAAATAGATCGATAATACCTCGTTTTAACAGCAAGAAGGACCTCATTAAATTTTAGCATTCTTTTTGAGTACCTCTAGTAGAGTTATAAAGATTGATAAATTATAAAAATGAGTTTAATTTTTGCTTTTCAGCTAATATAACCCTCATATATTAAGTAAGCATTTATAAAACAACTTACACTTAGGGGGAGGGGGGGGTTAAGGTTGTTGAAGGAAGGAGCGCTTGAGAACCACTCTAAATATTTTAAAACTGTTTTATATTTACTGACATTATTGAAATAAGTTTTTAAAGTTTTTTTACCATCTATATAGGATAATCTTAGACATAATATGATTTTGGTCCCCCTCCCTATTTGAGTTAATTTTTGAAAAATTAAGGTCAATTTTTGCAAAGTTGCCTTTATTCTAATAAACTTATTTATGTCTTTCTTTAATGTATATACCTAATAGCAAAATAATTATAAGGGCCGAGTTTTATAAACAAATTTGAAAAGTACGGGATACCCTAATGTATATATTTTTACCAAGACGTAGCGCTATAGTTAAATTTTTGTTTGATAATTTAAATAAAGTCCTTTTTTGTAATTAAAGTGCTTTCGACATTCTATAAAATGTCAAATGTGTCATATCACACCCATTTATCCCTTCTGTCTTCAAATAATACCAAATCTTTGATGCCGCACGGTAAGATACGGTACAATAAAATTTCGACCAGGAATAAAATAATATAAAGCTAAAACTTTGTTCAAGCAAACATTAATGTGTGATAATTCTCCAAAAAAAAAATCCTCAGCAATTATAGCTCCGAAAGGTGTACTTTTGGGCCTTTATAAAAGGGTTATATTTGTATAAGAAGAAAAAAAAAAATTTTAATAAATTTTTTATATATCGTTGGAAAGATAAATCAATGCTGATTCATGTTTTTACAAGAAATATGGTCTGAAAATAAGTATTTAAGAAGTTATGTTAATTATTCCAATAACAAAATTATAAGCAATACAGAGATAAATTGTAATTTGACTATTGATGTAATCTTTTATAGCCGGATAATTTATACAAAGTTAAATCTATTTATTCATTGGGCAAACAGACAAAATAAATTTTTAATCCAATTAGCGGTGTGTCATAAAGGAGGGAGCGATCTCTCCCCCCTCCCTCCGTGGGTCGCATCGATTCTCTATGGATCGCCCCTCCACCCCCTTATTCATTCGAAAATAATTTTTAATGTAAATTTATATATTTAACACAGCACTTTAAATTTAAATTATGGACTTGCCTGCTTGAAAATAATCAAATTCCTGAAAATTCCCCCTCCCCTTTTTCTTCATAAATGGTTAGAATACAACAAAAAATAGTAATTGAAAAAAATCAAAGCTCCCCCCTCTCCTCCCTCATTACTTCATGGTCTTATTAATAACAAAAAAATAGTGTTACTTTATAAAATCTATAGCAAAAACTATTTGAAACAATATAGTTAACTTTTGAGTAAAAAAATAATTAAATAAACATAATTTGTTTTTTATTTCATCAGTATTATCAAAATATGTAAACTTAGTGAGGCCATTGTCCTGTGTTTTGCACGTCTTTCCTTAAAATAATAAAATAGTTATTTTTTTTTTAACCTTTTATTCATCTCTATGTTCTATTATTTATTTATATGTTCAATATGTACAATATTGTGGTAACTTAAGCCTGTGAACTAAGATATCCCAGATTTTTTTGGGTTGTATATTTTACTTCATGATAACTTTATAATACTGAAAAATTATTAAATGAAACTAAAAACTTATTGATGAATTTAAAAATATTATAAAACTGTGTGAGAAAAAACAAGTAAAAAGGGGTCAATTAAAAACAATACTTTTTAAGTTTATATATTTACAAAGGCTTAGAGCAATCACTACATTTCCACTCCATGACTTTAACATCATCTAATTCAGATATCGTGGTACATTTTAAATGATACCAGATGTTACAAACATCGCAGCACACCCACTGATCACCTCTTTTTCATATCCACCACAATTAGGGCTAATGTCGTTGTTGTCAGCATAATCACAATTTTTTTAAGTTTTTTTCTTTAGTTTTTTTTTTTACTTGGTTTTTCGAAGCTTCTTTTCTTGTCCGTTGTAAACATGCTTCTGATGTCAAACTTTCACCATAGCAAAAACATAGAGAAACTCGTGCAGATCTTCCACGATGAGAGGAAGATCTGCACTGATGTTTAAAAAAAAAATCTTTGATTACGGAAGTTGATGTAGAAATTGGTAATGATGAAGCAGATGATATTGATGTTGAAATGAGAGCATCGTTAACACAAATACTATGAAGGTTAGGCATTGAACATGATCTTGTAAGATGATTAGCTGAGAATGTAGGTTTTTTTACAGGTAACATGAAACAGTGATTAAATAGGTGTGTGTCAATAGCATCTTTGTTAAAATGAAAAATGCCAGTTCCCCTAAAACACTTTTGACTTGTTCCATAGTAAAGGAACTCTGAAAAAGAATACGTAGTAGTCCTGGAAAATATTTTTTCGACACTGGTCCATTATGCGTTCTTGCATATTTTATAAGCAAACTTTGCCATTTACTTTTTAGAGGTCGACAAACTAATGTGTCTAAAGATTGAAGAAGATGCGTAAGATGTACAGGAATGCGTAGAAGAATAACATTTTTTTTTTTGTTAAATCAATAAGTCAGGAGCTAATATGAGAAATACGGCCATCGAATATAAGCACACGTGGGCGGTTTGAAAGATGCTTTGGATAAATTAGAAATATGTTTCGAAACCATTCAAAAAAATGGGGGCACTCCATCCAGTCCTTACTACTGGTAGTATAAACAGCTCCATCAGGTCCACCTTTAACCCAGTCCATATAAAATTTTTTTCCTTTGTAGCAATACCTGCCCACTAGCAGAACATGCACAATTTACGTAACCTGCTCCCTGCCTGATCCACCAATGCTCTGCGACACACGAGAAGCACCTCGTTTTGCTAATACAATTTGCTCTTTAGGGTTGGTGACAAACCTTGATTCATCAAAATTAAAGATTTGATTAGGAAGGTTAATAATTCCTGCTTTTTTTAATGTTTTTTCTACTAAATTAAACCAAATTTTGATAGTTTCAGGACTTTCAGCGTGACTTCTGGAATTACTTAAATGTTCAGTTTTTCTTGGAGTAATTTTAGGATTTCTTTGCAAGAATGCATGCAACCAGTCTTTACTTGGTCGAGAATCTATAAATGGCGTATTAATACTGTTTGTTTTAAGAAAATCTTGTACTAAATTTTTAACTTCACCTCTAGTAAAACCCCATCCCCAATCAGCCATTAAAATAAAGCAATCTGATAGCTCCTTCTTGCTGTGTTGTTAAAACTGTTATTTGCCCTGGATGAGAGTCAAAAGATAGCTCACCATTTACTCTTTTTGAAAGCGCTCTTCTATCACACCAAAATGTTTGGATGCCTGGTTTATTGACATTTCTTTATTCAAAACAGAACTGCATGCATCTATCATTTCTTGACTGTTTGAGTAGGATTTTCTACCTCCCTGTTTCAACTTTTTGTATGTTTGAACCATTCTAAGGAGAAAAAATATTATTTTCAAAAATACAATAAAAGTATATTTTTTTACATTAAAAAGTTGGTTGCAATTTTTTTCATACTTTTTTAACTATATATTTTGAAATTGATAGCTTATTTAAATTTATTAGAGAGTTTTGCCATTTTTTACTAGTCAGGGAGGGCATTAAGACCTACTTGTTTTAAAATAAAAATTTCATTCTCTAAGTAAACAAATAAATAAAGTTTTTTGCAACAAACATCTCAAATAAGTCTTACCTACAAGGAAAACAAAAAAACTTTGTGTACAAGGTAATTTTAAAGGTATAAATGTAAAATGTCTACACCTTCTTTAAACGGCTCAATGACTCAATGATTTTTACAGAAATAAATATGAGATTTTAACTATTATTTAAATGTTACTTAAGTAGAATGTGTTTTTTAAAAAAGTTTATATATATATATATATATATATATATATATATATATATATATATATATATATATATATATATATATATATATATATATATATATATATATATATTTATATATACTCTGAAACAGTATAATATAATCCATAATATATACTGATTTAATGTAATCTTCAAAACTATATAATATACAAGATATCTATAATTATGTAATCAATAGCAAAGAAAAAACTTAAATTCTATGACTTGAATATTCAACTATTGCCTTTCTAAGAAGCTCTCCATGGTTCTCTCTGAATTCTGAAGTTGAGAATCTGCTCAGTGTTTTCAACATATTATGATGAACAGATTCAGAACATTGTTCAGAAAATACTCCCAATGGCAGCTTAGTTCTATTTAAAAACATGACAAGATGGTGTTCAATTATATGACCTTTCCATCCCATAGAAAGATTGTGGTTGAATGTAGTCTTCACATACTCTTGGTTTTCCTAAATTAATTATTCAAAAAATGGTTAATATAAACAAAAATTAAAACTTTATTTTTAAATGTATGAGTTGTTTATGCATTTATGTAACTATTACCTTTCTTATTATTCTATTAACTTTCTTATATATGTTGCAATGGCATCAGCATAACCGTCATGGAGTTTCATTCCGAAACACATGTTTACTACTAAATGTAAATTTTAGTGTCATTTGTGAGAAATTGCTTTTGATTCAATAAATATTTCTTTTTAAACCATAATTAACTTTTAATATATAAATACTTTGTAAAATTAAGTATATTTAAAATTTACGTGAAGAAAAAGACTTTAACAGTTATCTAAGATAAATTTTTCCAAATCTGGCAAAAGCTTTCGTATTTTGTTAGCATTTCTACCATCCAGCCCACCTCCATTATACCCATGCCAAATAATTCCATGCTTTTTTAACCAAAGAGCAACATCAGGTTCCTTACAGAAGACATTTGAAATTTCTGTTATAATCTTCATCATTAAATGAAGTTCTGGAGGAGGGATGACATCAAGCACATACATCTCTCCAGACTCAACCAGGAGACATGGATGTATAACATTCTTATAGAGTTGCATGGAGCTTTTTTTAAATCCACTTTTAGCAAAGTTTTTATACGTGTTCTTAAGCATATTAAAGGTTCTCAGTTCTCCAAGATGAGTTTTATCACCATCACAAAATAAACACGAATATTTTCCCCCATGTCCTGACAAACCCAAAACTATGTTGCATAATTTAAGATCTGCAGCAAGGTAAAACTTTAAATTCTTTAGCTTTGTTTTTTCTATAAGAATTTGAAGATTTGTGTGGCTTTCGCAAACATTTTTGGCAAAAGCCAATATTATAACTTTGTTCACTCCAGTATTCTTGGTTTCTTTGGAGTCACAATTTACTTCTCTGTTAAAAACATTCATAGTAACTTTTAAAGATCCTTGGCCACTATCTATTCCTATACGAATAATAACGTTCTCGACTTCTAGTCCCCTAGCAATGCAAACATGATTAACTAGAGAAACTGGATCTTTGACATACACTAGATCTTTAATGACAGTTTCAATAGTTTATTTTCTTTAACTTTATTTTTGATTAGAAATTCCACTTTTTCCACTGAGTAATAGTTATTTAAGGCATGTGACATTATCTTAATTTTTTTGGAAGAATTAGATTCCATACCTAATCTACCCAAATCTTTTCTTAATTCCATTGCTATTGAATCAATAGTACAGTCTGACATATCATGCTTTCTTTTGATATTATAGAAAGTTTAGGTAGAGATAGTTTTAAGGGTTGGCTTTTTCCCTATCTGGAGACTTAAAGGAGTTCCTCCAGTCGACAAAGTAACAGTGTTATCTAACTCAATATTTTTAAATTGTTGAATTTCTTTCAGAGATTTGCTAAGTACTTGCTCAACTGTTTTTAAACCTGAAAATTTGTAAATATGTTTAAGGATTACGTAAAAATTTAGGTTTAAAAAAACTATAATTAAGCTCTAACCTGTTGACATTAGCAGTGTTTTTAGGTTCTGTACAATGTCTCTCTTATTACAGGGATGTTGAATTCCAGATCCAATTCTTTGATAACAAGTACAACAAATTTTATCTATGACCTCCTTTGGTACTTCAGGGTCATTAATGTACATGTTTAATACATCCTGAATAAATAAAAAATTATACTTATTTAAAATATAGTTAATTAAACTATAATAAAAGTTATAATTTTATAAATGTTTTTAACGTAAATAATTGAGCTACATATATAAGTTCTTTATAATAAATTACCTGAAGGTTTATAGATTTGGATTTATCTCTTGACATGATACAGAGCAGGCAATCACATGTTGACACTGTCTCACCTATATTTATATATATAAACAAATGTTTATTCATATTATTTATAGCTTTTATTATATGCATTAGTAAGTATAAGTAAAAGTATTAACTTTAAATCTCGGAAGTAACTTTATTCTCTCTGATGTGAGCAACCACCTCTCCAAAGTAACTAGTGATAAAGTTTCTCCTTTTTTAGCTGAGTACAAATAAATCTTGCAGGTTGGACATAACCCAATAGGGTTGGAAAGAAGTGTCATATTATAGTTAGTGTTGGCATACAGTTGAATCAAGATTAGTAAAGGATTTCCAGTAACCAGTTCAATGCATTTTAAATTCTTATCACCACAGCAAACACAAATAAGTTTTCTTGAAGAGAAATGATCCCTTGGTTTGTTTGGCATGTTAACTATGTTAATTATGCTAGTTTTAATGCAAATAAATAATAAATATGTTAGATTTTTAACTAAAGCATATACATACATACATATTAAATATAGTAACACTTTGACTAGTTTAAATGGTTATATCTTTTGAACGCCAAGATATTTTTTATTGAATTTTTGAATATGTAACTGATGCTTGATTTTTCTAAAGATTGCATAATTATTTTTTTTAAATAAATAAAGGGGGCAAGGGGAGGGGGAAAAAGTTGCCCAGATCCCCTTTAAAAATTGATTTTCTCATCAGGACGTACACCAAATAATGGCGGACTTTAAAACGGCGCACCCCAAACTCGGTAAACAACAAAAATTTTCGTTACGAAAATTAAAAGTCGATTTTCATTGGCTAATAAATTAAATTAGACTTAAGCACGTTTTCAACTTTTCAAGTTCACTTCAATACACGACACTTTGTTTTTTTTCTTTTGAGGAATCCATTTTGGCACTTGTCGTAACGGCGCGGTTTTGCCATTCTGTAAAATACTCAGTATATTTACCGAGAATTTTCGTAACGAAAGCTTTCGTTGTTTACCGAGTTTAGGGTGCGCCGTTTTAAAGTCCGCCCTTTTTAGAACCAAAATAATTTTTTTCTGGTCAGCGCACAACGTTTAAAAGACATCTGAAATACATTTGGAAGTGCGCTTTTTTTAAAATGAAACACAGATTAAACAAAGATATAAACTAAAATTTAAATCTTGTTTTTTTGTATCATTCAAAAATATTTAGTTTTATGGTTGACTTTTGTAGATATTTTAGTTCGCAGTTGTTAAATGCGTGCGTCATCTTTTATTTTATCTCGAAGTAATTTTAAAATCTAAATAAAAATAATAACTAACGCTTTCATATAGGTTGTTTGCATTAAATTGACGAGCGGCTATTTCTTAAGATCAGATCCTTGTTTTGATTGGATAAAAAACTTGACTTAACTCTTTGTCCGAAAAACTTTATCGTTAACCGGATTTTTATATGCTTTGCATTATAAAAAGTATTGCGTTTACAGCTAACACATATACTTGCTTTGCAAGTATGTGTTTGCTGTAAATGCAATATTTTTTGTAGTTAAAAGCAAAAGTTAACAATTTAGTGGAACTTGTTTAACGTGTATAAACTTTATTTTCTTTAAATTAAAAAACATTAAATATATTTGATATTTTTAATTACGTTATTATTATGGTTAAAAAAGCATTTAAAACGGTACACCACGCTGTAATTTTCTTTGCATTATATGTTCTTCACCGAATAGTTTGCTAAACATAATTACGATGGTAAGATTCAAAACTATACTACCACTTCTTTAATAATATTTTAACTTTAATTTTTAATATATAAGAATATTCAATTAGACTCACGTTCTACTATTGTGAAAGGAGAAGTAAACATGCGGCTTTTATAAAAACTGTAGGCGAGTTTTTTTTATGAAGCATACGGCTTTTTTAAAATTTCTTATAAAAAATGATTTATATGTAAATCATAAGTAAAAATTTTTGTAACAATTAAATGAATTCAACCTCCAAAATAAAATAAAAGTTGTATAATTAATGCAAAGCACATTTCATTAGGTATATTATAGTAAAAACTCACATTTTATTGCGCAAAAAACTCTAAAATCTACTTGATAAAATAACTATTTATAACAAAACTACAATTAATTAATATATATATATATATATATATATATATATATATATAAATATATATTCTACATTTAAGATAACTTCAAAATTTTCATTTTAGATTCCTTTGAAGATCGCGCTAATAAATATATTAGCAAGGATTCTACAATATTTTTTTGAAACATTGGTAAATCCATGAAAGTCAGATATTATCAAAAAACAGTTAGATAAGCTAATATGACAGACAAAAGTTTAAAAATGATGAAAGAAAATGTATGAATAAAATATATATGTCATATGAAAACTGTGCAAGGGAAACATACTTATGACTTGTAATTTTTTTTTTATTTTATTTTAATTCACCTCCTCAAGGCCGAGAAGGCCACTACAGACGAGGAGGCTACTTATTTGTGGCTATAACCCTCTCTCAACTCTATAACTCCGAAACACGAACCTTGACGAACAAGGCCGCTGCACGGAGAAACGAGTTGAGCGCGGTACTACCAGGGACGTGGTGGGGATCGAACTTAGTAAAATTAGTAAATGTTTTACTATTTCAACCATCTCACAACATGTATGGGAAAAAGCACGAGGAGTATCTTTGGTTAAATTTTTTAGTCTATGATTTTTTTTGACCATGTCAGCCAAATTTAATAGAAAGTTCAATTGTTTATCATTGTTTGATGAAAAAAAAGCACGATATTTATCTCTAGTATAAATGTCTTTATAAAGTCCTTTAACATTGACAATTTCTAAAAATTTGATAAAAAAAGGTTAAAAACACTGTGGTGTCCACGATATTTTTTATAGATGGATGAGTTTTCATAGCAGCTACAGTCTCATCATAAAATACTCTTAAACAAGTTGACATTTAATTGGTTTCGGAAAAACTGCTGTTTTATTAAGTTTAGACAGTTTTACAATAGCATTTTTTTCAAATAGCAACAGGTTTTTAAGATCTGACCATTTTGCAGTTCTCGAAATACCTTTGTAAGTAAAGCGTTGTTCTAGGAATTTTTCTGTAAGCCAATTGTTGCGAATAGATTTTATTAAATGAACAAAGTCATACAGAAGGAAAATGTTATAAATAGTGCAAGTATCATGGAGATTGAACATTCCAAAAAACTTTTTATCTATTTTGTAATTGTCTTAATGAACAGCATCAACAGAACCACCACATTTTTTTATTGAAAATTAGCATCTAAACCTGTTATTGGTAATGCTTTAAACAAAAACTGTTTTCCACCAAATAAAGAACAAATCATTAAACCCAAAACTGTTTTTGCTAATTCATTTGGGGAATTTACAGATTTACCAAAAATGTTATTTAACATAAATTTCATCAATTTGTAGAATAACCTGTCTTTGAAATAAAGAACATTTCTCAAAATACAACTTTAAAAATCATCATCTCCAATATTTATAACTTTAGATGTCAACTTTGTCATCAAAGATATACTTGGTAGTTCGTAGTCATCACATAGTCGAAAGTAAAGAGTTCTTGAAAATGAAAAGTACTCAAATGGAGGAAATGGAGAAAATGGAGAAAAGTACTCAAATATTAGGAGAATACTTTTTTTCGCCACTAAAAATTAATGAGTTCATACTTAACATCTGTTCAATAATAATATTTTTCTTATGATCGATTGGTAAAGAATTCAGATCGTGTATTGCAGCATGGAGACGGCTAATACAGTCAATAATATTCATATGATTGTAAAAAAAAAAGGTTTTATGGTGCACTTAACACCAAAGTGATAGCTATCAAAGGATAAATAATTTTTTATTTTTAAATTACAAAACATTACAAAATGGATACTCATGGTAAAATAGTTTTTTATACTCATATTTTATACTAATATTTATACTATATTTTATCATTTTGTTTAAAAAAGCATTTTAACAACTTTTGTGAAATTCCCATAAAAAGTTTTTTTTTTAGGTTCAGAGCGGAGGGGGATGACACACGCCTTCTTCTATAAAAGCAATTATACAATTATACGCCACAAGTTACTATTTGTTAAATTGTTAAAATATATTTTTTATAATAGATTTAATCATTTTAGAAAAGATTGTAATATTTAAAAGAATGAAATTTTAATACAGTGTGTTAAACCTTCCTCAAAACCCAACACACAACTTTAAGCTAAACCTGAAATATTTGCTATTAATGTAGAATAAATCAATGACAACTTTTTGTATATAAATATAACCAATTTCATAAAAAAAAGACTCTAATATGAAAAAAATAGTGTTTTTACTGTCAAGTCAGGTTACCTCCGAAAGGTTACCTGACTTAAAGGTACTTGGTTAGTAACAGGTTACCTGACTTGACAAGGTTACCTCCATTTTCCTTCAGGAAATGAAGCAGGTTGGACTGGGTTATATGGTAACATATAACCCAGTACAACCTGCTTCATTTCCTGCTGCCTTGTAGGATACGCTTTTTTAGGAAAAGGCTAGGAGAAGCCGACTCCGAATTCAAACACCTCCTGCCTTGGGGCTCTTGGTTGAATAAAGAGATGATGCCTCGATAAAAATACTCATCTTGGGCACATGCTAAATGCATTAAGCTACTGTCTAGTAGAAAGCCTACAAAATGCAGAAAAATAAGGGGTAAACAGATTCTATCTTCTGACCAAGCTCGCACCCCTTCTTCGTCTATTAGGCCGGCGCAGATATATTTTTAATACTCTTAATTACTTAATATATAATCTTCTTGACTCAATGCATATGTTTTGTTTGTGTCTCTGTTATTATGACTAGGCAACTCTTTCTATTATCTCCTAATGAGAATACAGCTCTAAAACTCAGTTTTATGGTTCTTAGGCCGGCTGGTAGTAAGAATTCCCGAACTCTGTGGTAGCTCTCAGAGAGACTAATTCCATTAAGAGCTGAAAAATATCAGAGTACTAACAATGCCATGTTGCGCATTGATGGTGTTCCTATTCGTACTTTTGGTGTTCATTGTTGAGGCCACATTTGGAACCTTTTGTTACGGCTTAAGGTTTGTTACCATTAATGAGGCAATTGCTTGGGCTATTAAATAGTGTATTGAGTACAATCTATGCTTTAAGTCAAGTTCATTAAAATGACTAAAGTATTAAAAACTATAAAACACAAAAAACCATAATCATCACCAAGATCTCTAAACCTATAATATAGTCAATATAATTTTTTTTTTGATTTAAGCTCAGGCAAAGTTTTTCTGTTATTTATTCGTGCTCTCACAAAACCGTCTCTTTTTTCAAAACCACAAACGGAAAGTGCTGCTTCTGTAACTTCTTTTACATCCCTTTATAAGATTGCGTGTTAAGAGGAAAGTACGGAGCTTCAAACTGAGTGACCAGATATTTTTGAAGATTTTTTGTTGAGATTTGGCATGTAAATACTTGTTCTGGTATTTTTTCCCTCTCTTCCAATTCAAACGAAGCTTCTGTATTGTAAAAAACCTTTTTTCGTGACCTTAGCTGTGTCTCCGAACTGCGTGGTTTTCCTTATATCTTTAATTATTTTAATGGCAAAATTCCTCGATTCTTCATTTTAGCTTGACAAAAGAGTTAAAATAAGGGGTTTAAAGTGAGCAAAATAGGCCCAATTTTGAATGTATTGTGTGGAAATATTTTAAACTTCATTATCTTGTTTTTTCAGCAGTTGCATCAGTGTTACTAAGTGACCTGTGCCATCTACAATACTGTGTTTTTACCAACTTATAACAGAGAGCTGCATCTGTCGACGTTGTTTTGAGAACGTTTTCGGGAATTTCAATTAAAGGTTCCAGCTATTCTAAAGGTTCAAACGTTTCAAGTCTTTTTATGCTATTGACTTTAGATAACGCTTTTCCAATAGGGCCAGTAAAACCATCCTTTGAACTAGTTGGGCCATCCAGTTTAACAACTGTGTACCTCAATGGTAACTCATTACAATGAAGCATACAAAAGACCAGAATAATTTTCTCCTTACTAAATGTTCCAGATTTGACAGCAAACATCCATCTCTTTTTAAACCTATCATGGAATTTGTAGAATCTTCACCTACAACCTCTAAAAACTCATGGATTGCCCTTGGAACCATCCAATTTTAAAAAGCAAATGCGGCTTGTTTGGCCGGTTGGCTTGGTGGTATAGCTTAGGTGGTGTGTAACGAGTAAGGTATCTTCCATCAGGCTCACAGGTCACAGTTATATGTTCTTATTTTATAGTCCTTATGTGAAATTTATTTGTTAGAGGACTCTGTTCCAACACTAAAGTTGAGTCCTTGCTTCCATCAATAAAAAAACCTCTATTAGGTTCTTCGTCAATTAAGAAATGATGTAACAATAGCTGATGTTGCTGCTGATAAAATATCTTATTAAAATATCTGCAGTATGACTATTTGACATATAGTTTTTTGACAAATAATAGAGAAAAAAGAGAAAAAAGAGAATCGGTGTTTTAAGAAAGCAGGAAACCAGCAGAAAAAAGTCTTGTCATCAAGAAACCACTTGATTTTAGTTGCGATATTTTGGTATACTTAATTCAATTATAATAAGCTACTAATAATCAAAAATAAATAAATACACAGAAATATATTATTACCTGGCTAGTTATACTAAATATATTGACAGACGTATACAAAATATAAATAAAACCACCCATTTTTTTTTTTTGAAATTAAATTTGATGTTTTCTAGTTTTCGGTTTAATATGCGTTCGTAAAATTGCTAACTGTTAAAACGTTTTTTTTTAATGAAATTTTTGGAAAATTTAGGTTATCTAATTTTGTCATTGTAGTACTTTTGGATACTTACTTGTTGTAAAGATAAGGGCCGCTATATAAAATCATGAATGGAAAAAGACATAAGTAAGACAGAATAAAGAACCCTGTAAACACCGTACGATCGCCCTTTATTGGGCCAATAACTTTTTTGAACATATATAACGAGCCATTGTATGCCATCGTTTTGCCTAAATTGCTGAGGCTTTGCGTTTGTCGGCTTGCATTTGTAGCTGATATAGAAGCCTAAATACTGGCCAACTTATTTGGGAATTTATTGGGCCAAGATTGGCTAATAAATATATAATAAATATATACCAATAGCTGCTATAAAGTCGTATTTTAAATATGGCGCACATTTTGGATTAACGCAATCATTTTGATAATATTATTATTAGAAGTAAGATATTATTATTTCAGAGCTGAATTAAATTTAGAACTGTATTTTAAATTCAATTTCAAAGTATACATATACATATGAATTATACACATATTTTTTTTCCATAGTTTTAGTTTATTATCATTATAGCTTTACTAAAGTTTATTTAACTTATATAAAATGGGATTTCAACAGATCATGGATACTGTGCAAACTTATTGGTCAAAGAGAAGAAAAATAGTTAAATCTGTCAACAAAATTATGTCCGATATTAATACAGAATTTTCTAATTCTAACAATAATAAAGCTTTAAAAATAGTTAGTTTTATATGTCATGCCTCTTAATCAGGGCCGCCGAGAGGGAGGGGCCACCGGGACAGTTTGTCCCGGGCGATATTTCACATCTTTTATGCATCTAAGGCATTTATTTGTGTCGAATAAAATGTATCTAAAAGACATCTATAAGATAGACATCTATTTATGTCCCATTCACGACATGAATTTAGACGTCTTTTAGACCAGTTTTTAGATGCATATTAGATGCATTTTAGATATCTATTTGTTTGCTGGGACTTGTTTGATACAAAGGTGTTACAGCGGTTAAATTAGTCATAAAAAAGGATTAAATTAAATAAGTAAAGAAACATTTTAACTAACATTACTTAATTTTTATTTCACAAAAATATACATGAGAAACTATATTTCTTCATTGCCGTCAACATTTTCTTCCACGTCGCCGATATCCAAAATATATACATTAATGACATTTAAATGACTTTAAAAGACATGTAGAATTCTGAATCTATTTTTATAAAATATTATATATATATATATATATATATATATATATATATATATATATATATATATATATATATATATACATACAGTATCGGACAAAACCAGTGCAACCAAATGATGCTAATTTAGCTTCTTTGTATAAAAGTGCTGCCATTTTTCAATTTACAGAAATAACTATGTAGCTGTTTAGAGACAACGTTCTTCAAATTTTATTCATCACAAAGTTCATTATTTGTACACGAAAACTAATAAATTAATTAAAAGTATTAAAAAAAATTGATTTCCTTCTGGACAAAACAAGTGCAACTAAACAAAATGTTGACCAAGCTGTATTTTGCTATCATTATTTTGTGGTGAATCCTTTGTTGTCGATCACAGCCTTGCATCTTTAAGGCATAGATTCGATCAGGTGATCAATGAAACTTTGTGGAATCTCTGTCAAGGTCTTTTGGATTTGTTCAAACAGTTCATCCTTATTACGAAAACATTCATGATTAACTCTGCGGTTAACGATCTCCCACAGGTTCTCAATAGGGTTGAGATCCGGAGATTGAGGCGGCCAATCCATCACCAATAGATGGTTGTCTTGACAACCATCTATTGGTGATGGATTGGACAAACCAAGCATTTCTTGACTACTTTTGCAGTGTGTTTGGGATCGTTGTCTTGCTGAAAAACCCATTTTATTGGTATATTCCATTTAGCATGAGGTAACATAACATCTTTCAGGATATTTTTATACATGAAACGGTCCATTATTCCATCGATTCGATGTATTAGACCTAGACCGTTAGCTGAAAAACACCCCCAAACCATTACATTGCCTCCACCATGCTTCACAGTCTTATGGCAGTAACGTAAATCAAGGCGTTTTCCGGCTGTATTGATGTAATGAAACACTTATTGTATTTCACTTCTGGTATTGATGTTCTTCGATTAAACACTTTGATAAAACTCACTTTGATAAACTGTCTTGATAATACTGACTGATTGACTTCCATATACTGACTGAATTACATGTCTCTTATATAGTAAAATGAACCTGTGTTAACCTGTTCTGGAAGATTCTAGATGCTTCTTTTCAATACTTCTGGATGCTTCTAGATGCGTCTGAATGCTTCTGAATGCTTCTGGATACTTCTGGATGCTTCCAGATTAAGGAGGTCAATTTTGTACTTTTTTCAAAATTTTAACTTGCTGTGCCCTCAGATAGCTGGGAAATCATGTCAGGAATTAAGAACAATCTTGCTTTTTTTTTCTATGCAAGCCAAATTTTTCGCAAATGAAAAGAAAAATTCAGTAAAAACGTCAATTTGACTAAAAATCTATGCAACAATTGAAGAGTGTAATCCAAAAAAAGTAATTTTATATTTTCCGATTTTTTAGATCTCTTGCTTCCATTTACAGTACGAATGTTGCTGTGTCGTTATAAATTAGCAAAATCATTACCGAAAATTTCCAGTTACCCCTAACTTTACACTTAAAAACTGCAAACCATACGTTATTAGATAATTCTTCAATTTTTTTTTAAATAATCAAAACTGTGGCATTCCCGGTCTTACTTTGCAGCCTTTAACTATATACTATTTTTAGTTATAAAACAGTTTAAATACAAGCTGAGGTTGAATTTTACAGGGTTGCATGACAGTGACAAATCCAAGAATTTTTGGAGGTGGAGGGGGGGGGGTGAATTTATTTTTGTATTTTGTATGAGATTTAAGCCTCCTAAAAAAAAATAGGTCCTCTATTTTTAAAAAATTTTAGTACTTTCAGATTCCGGTTGTTTATGCATCTTTCCATTCCCCCTGGATCTGTCACTGTTGTATGAACTTGTGTAAAAAGGTAGCAAAAAAGAAGCTGCGTTTTTGAAAAAGTAATTAAACTTTTTTAAATAATTTTAAAATTTTTTTAAAATTTTTTAAATACTCGAAGATTATCAAACAAAGAGGGATTAACTTTTTGTTTAACTTGGGTATTATAAAATTTAAATTTAACACTCATTATACAACGTTACAGCTAAACAAAAGTATTTGGTTTTAGATTGAAAAAAATAATTAGTTTTCAAAATATTCTCAGATCCTCAAGTGCAATCATTTCATATACCAAGTAGAGCACGGCCTTAGCTTCCTAAGTATAATTTAACAATAGTTAAAAAAATTAGCAACTAATAAATATTTCAATTATATTTTGGTTATAAATAGATAGACTTTAAACATAGACAAAAAATTTAATTATGACAAAAAATTTAATTATTTAATTAACTTTAAAATTTGTTATAATACTATAAATTATAGCATTGGAGTATTGAGAAAATTAAAACAATGGATACTATATATCGTAATCTTTTTTTGAACAAAACTTTTTTCTTGATATTCGACTTTTTTGCTTCCCTACTGCTAAACCATGTCTATTCTGTAAAGAATAGGCTTTTTTTTGAAACCTCAGAAACAAGCTTTACAACACGCTCAACAGACTGACTATGTAGCGGAAAGTCCCAACCAAGCTCATAAGGATCTGGTTTACATTCAATTGTATTGAGTAGTTCCAGATAAGTCAGGTTCTTAGTAGCAGGAGGTTCATAGATCAGTTTATCATCAGAAAGCAGATCTGCCCATGTGTCACATTCAATTTCAAGATTTTCAATATTTGGGATTTTGTTAATTCTGATACCACCATATATTCTATCAACGGAGGATTATCTCGACATTTTAAAATCAGCCTAACTGCTCTGTTTCGTATTTCTTTCAAATCATCAACAAAAAGGGATAAAAGAAAGTTTTCTGGAAGAAGACAATACGCATTTCTTAAAACAACAGGTAGTATAATGTCTTGTATAGTTTGGCTAAAATTTTTTATATTTTTTAATGTTGTGTATAAAATTTTTGGCCCTTCAGTAAAGTTCTTTGATTTCTTAATAGCAAACCATGTGGGGCCATACTCTGCCTGTATGTAATTTACTATCTCTTTAAGGACAGGAGTAGGTTGTTCTGTTCTTGAATACAAAACTAAAATACGTATTGCTAATGTCAGCCACCTAGCATGATTAACTGGACCAATTTTATAATGAGCGTAAACTGGATTTACAACACCTAAATTTAAATAGATTTAAATGTTCTTTTTCAGCAATAAATTATAATAGGAGTAAACGCCTGTAATTAAATACATTAAGTAGATTAATTTTTATGTTATGTACTTTTAAAATATGCTTACCTGAACTTATACCACACACATATTCCAGCAATAACCTTTGATCAGAACTTAAGTCATTGATCACACTATTTTCTGGAAAAACTAAAGAAGTCAAAACAAGTTCGAATTTGGCAATGGGTTTATGATGAAGGTCTTGTGCTGCACCTTTTCCAATTTCACCAAAAAATATTTGCGGAGTGTTTGTACCGCCATCTAGCTGTTCTATAATATGACGCAAAGGTAACTCGTTGCTATGAAGTGCACAGCCAATTTTATGAATTGTTCTGCCAAGTTTTCTTTCAAGGCTGGCACAAAGGCCAGTTTTATATCCAGTGTTGACATTTGTATTGTCAAAAACAATTCCTAACAAAGAATCAACACTATTGTATTGTTTTAACACTTCAAAAGTAGACTGCGCTAAATTTTCTCCTGTGGCATTTAAAATATCTTTGTGTGTCAGATATCTACCTTTCATTTCTCCCGATTCTACTGTAAAACTTAGATAAACCTTTTCTATTAATTTATTTTTTTTGCTAATACTATCTGGCAACATACTTCTATAAACCAGGCTACCTTTATCATCCTTACTGTCACATCCAATACATGATAGATTTTGCACTTTGATATTGTGTTCAGCAACAGACTGAAGACAAACCCTTTTTTTAGCTCGATCCATTTTACTTTTATCTAAAACATCAGTTTTATCAGTTTTAGTAATAACTCCAAGATCTTTTAAAAGTCCATTACCAAGAGCTGCAGCAGCTTCACTCGATATCGCATACCTAAAAATTTACAATAAAATAAACAATTTTATGCAAAAACATAATAGAGTAGATTATAACCAAGTTCAAATATAAATTGCTAACACATCCATAAAAACAGCATTTTCAAGTCTTTCCATTGTATTTCTTGTAGGAAAAATTTTTAATTTGGAAAATTATTTTTATTCTTATTATTTTTTTAAAAACACTTTTTATTTGGAAAATTCCTCAATAATTAGAAACTTTAAAGAGAACAAATTTAAAAGAAAACTTCAAAAACTAAATAAACAACACAAATACGTATTATGTAATAATAAACAACTACTTAAACTAAAAGTTACTAACCGAACACACTCTAAAGCAAAGTTATCCATCTTTCTTAAATTATATGTTGAAATAGCAATTGACTCATTATATTCTGAATCTGATGATGATTCCTAAAATTTAATATTTTTATATATTAAAGCATTTATCTTTATATATATATATATATATATATATATATATATATATATATATATATATATATATATATATATATATATATATATATATATATATATATATATATATATCGTTTGAATGAGAAAACTATAAACTTGTTCTTATTCTTACTGTATCAGACTCCAAATTTTTATCAAAATATGATTCGCCATTATCACATGAGAGTACTTTAACATTAGAACACTTTCCTACTCTTCCTTTTTCTTTTTTTACTGAGCTCTAATCTACTGGCCCTAACTGAATGTTTCCTTTTGTGCCATTTCTTGATCTTTGGTCTTTGATGTATTCTTGTTCCTCCAGCGGAATCTAAGCAAATTTAAATAAAATATCATATATTTATTTAAAAAAAAAACATGATAAATAAATGATAAATAAGTAGATAAACTCTTGTGAAGAAAGTTCAAAAAAACTCTGTAGAAAAAGTTAAATTCTTAACTAACCTTGCACTCTGGAGGACAAACACATACTAAATGTTTATTATTGCAGGTTAGATATTTGCATTTGACCCTATCATCATAGCAGGGAACTTCGTCTAAATTGCATCTAAAGGTAGATATATCATAAAGATTTTCCGACGCATTATATGCTGCAACTTGAGGTCTTTTTTTGCACTTTTTTCCATTAATAAGTTTCATTGTGTTAAATGTTTTGACCAATTTTAAATAAATTGACTCACTTTTTATCAAGGGCAATTTTGGATTTACTTTTAACCAAATTTTCACAAGTTCTTGTTGGGTTTTATCAATTATGTTTGATTTATTTTTTAACTCGGATTGTACGAAATAAAAGTATCTATAAATGTCTCTATAAGTTGGTAAATCGCTTACAGGAAAATCGCATTTTGAACCTCCGATGAGTTTTTTAGTGGTTTGTCTAGTTTTTGGAGCCATTTATTGCATGTTTTTTTAACAGCACTTTTTTTATTTATTATTATTATTATTCAGCCGATCGGTTTGTTTACAATTTTTTTGGTAAATTTTTCCCGCGTTTTCAGAATTTTCTTGTTTCTTTTGAATTGCGAATTTATTTTTCAAGTCGTAAAAAAAGAAAAAAATTGTACATATAAACTTAAACGCGAAAAAACTGAAGCAAATATGTCAAAAAGTTTTAATTAGTTCTTTATTTATTTAAAAAACTCTAGCTATCTGAGGGCACCGGTAAGTTGATTTCAAAAATCGACCTCCCTTATTCCAGATGCTTCTTCTGGAAACTTCTGGAAACTTCTGCATGCTTCTGGAAACTTCTGGATACTTCCTTTAATTATTAAAAAACTTCTGTGACGTTGACACGGACCAGACTTGAGAAAATGAAACAAACCAAAAAAGTTGCACTTGTTTTGTATGCTGCAAAATGGCACTTGTCAACGAAATTCTGCCTGTGTGCTGTCACCTGTCAGCTGATTGCTCATATCACGGCATGCTATGACTCCAGACTCCTGAACTGTTTGCTTTGGTAGTATAGTTCGTTTCATTTTTAAGACATAAAATTAGGAACACTTTTTAGCATTGTTCGATGTTGGTTGCAAATGTTTTGTCCAATACTGTATATACACATATATACATGTATATATCTGTATATACACATATATACATGTATATATATATATATATATATATATATATATATATATATATATATATATATATATATATATATATATAAATATATATATATATAAATATATATATATATATATATATATATATATATATATATATATATATATATATATATAAATATATATATATATATATACATATATATATATATATATATATATATACATATATATATATATATATATATATATATATATATATATATATATATATATATATATATATATATATATATATATATATATATATATATATATATATATATATATATATATATATATATATATATATATATATATATATATATATACATATATATATATATATATATATATATATATATATATATATATATATATATATATATATATATATATATATATATATATATATATATATATATATATAAACAAGAAGATTTGTATCTCAACCAGATACAATAATAAACAAAAATTTTTTTATGAAAAAACTAAAGGAACTTGTATTATGGATTCAAAAATTCTAGCATGACACAAAAAAGTCAAAGAATATCTTTTTAATACAGATATCAGTTTTATAAATACTATTAAAACTTTACCTCGTAAAACACTCCATATATTTACTGGATTTTCTATGCTTATCTTTTCCCCATTTCCTTTTCGATTAAATTTGGACTGTAACTGATTCGAAAATAACCTGATAAATGTTTTAACAATAAACTGAAATATATTTATAAAGATTTTTATTTTAATATATGTAATAAATTAAAATATATTTTAATATATGAATGCTTTATATTATGAAAAGTAAATGCATTAAATTTGAAAATAAAATGCTAAACAAGGTTTAGCATTACACTTACTTTAGCACACAAACAAACTTAAACACCTACATTGAAGCTCCCGAGTTTATCAAATTGTCATGTTAAAAGTAAATCCATAACAAATAACGGTTAAAATGAATTGCTTTTGGTCCCTTTTAATCATACTTCTAATAATTAATAAAAACATAATCATTTACCTTTTCATGATCAAAAAAAAATGTTCTCTTAGCTTTCCACCACCAATCTTTTTCAATCTATCAAGCTGAAATAAATGTAATAAAAACTAGTGTAACTTAAATTTCTTTACAACATATTGAGTCTAACACAAGCTAGTTATTTTAGTTCATTTAAACAACTTAAACAAACTTATTAAAAACTAAGATAATTAGATTATACCAAATTAGTATACTCGGTTTTATCTTTTAGTTTATTATCCAGGGTAACCACTTCGTCCACTGATTCTAGCAACTTCACCCCAGTAGCCTGAAACTTGATTTCTATAACTTCTTTTAAAAGAACTTTTATTTCTGCAAGCTCGTTGAGAATAACATTTTGCATCTCTACAAACAAGAATAAAAAGATTGATTAACATATTTAGCTCATAAAACCAAATAGCAAAACAATGAAATAAGAACTTTCAAATAAGAAAATTCAAATTATGCTTGAGTAACTCAAACTAAAATTCCAAAAATACATGTAAGTTTTTTAATTACTCCATCGCAGAAGTTGCCATAATATTTTGGAAAACCTACTTTTTAAATTAGCTAAAACTTTATCCTGTAAAAAGTTACGATATTAAAGAATTTTGTTTAACAACTAAAGGTAAAATGCTACACACATGATTTATCGGATCACAATATTATAAATAATCCATTTCTATTCTTTTATACCTATCTTTTACAATTAATTTAATACAAAAATAAATTAATAAAAAAGACCTCCACATTAACATTCAGTGGTGTAAAAACCAAAACTACTCACATTAAAACTTGAAACTCTTTGACAATGTGAACTTTGCTTGGTGTTCATCAATAAAATGTGAAGAAAAATTATCTTCTTCAATATTTGAATCTGATAACAACTCCATTCAAAAGAAATAATTATAATTAGAACTATAAATAATCCCTCAACCATACCTGTTACTTAATTTAATTTTTCAACCAATTGTGTACTCTTTTAATTTCTGAATTTAAACAATTTCAGCATGCTTTCAATCAATTTTCAATTTTCATATCAAGTTGATTAAAGGGTTATTTAATACAATAGAATGTTGCCAATCATATAAATATATGTAACCAATTTAACAACATTACATATAATAGGCCAGGGTTGGCAAAAAAACCCAACCCAAAAAAACCCAACCCAAAAAAACCCACCTTAAAAAAACCCAATAAAACCCAAAAAAACCCAAAATATATTTGGGTTTTTTTAAAAATGACCTATTTTACAACTGATAACTCTGATTTTAACACTTATAAATGCTTTATTATCAGCAAGTGCAACCTTAATACTGTAATTACTCTTGTAAACACTGTATTTATATACATAATGGTCTTTAGAATATACCCAAAATCAATCAATCTGTTTTTGAAGCAAGTTGGTTATTTATTATTTTTTTAAAACATTTAGCAAGTTATTATAAATGTTATTGAAATATGTATTAAAACATTAAATTAGTTAAACACTTATAAAGGAAAAAAAACCATTCTATTAACTATATTTCAAGATATTACTAGTTATTTAGTATCTTTATTCTCCTCTCGAATGTCTATATTCCTTTATATTGGTATTTGATCTTTTATTTTTTAAAGCTTATGTTGTAATCTGCAAAAAAAAAAAAAAAAAAAAAAAAATACAAAGCCACAAGCAAAATACTAAATATAAAAATTATTAAACTTTATTTACAGTTTAGAAATGGAAAGTTGTCAGGTAAAAAAAAAATGCTACAGTTCACTAGATTTGTCCTTAAGTGCATACAACTTTAAAACTTAAAAAAAAGTTATGTGCAAGCAAGCTTGCAACATGTTTGCTCATTCAACGAGAGAACATGTTGAAAACTTGTACGCATTTCACAAGGACAAGATTTGTTGGTAAAAATGACACTCGTGCTCATCTGTCTTTTGACAGGTTTTTAATATTTTGCATCAGCTACAAGTTTACAACATGTACCACCAACAGGGGTGACTATGAACAGCGGGTTGAAAATTAACATCAGTATCAAGTTGCTAAAAGGTGAAGAAACACACACACAATAGAGCTATATAATGTGTTACTTTGATTCAGTTTGCAATTTGCATTGCAAAACTAAGCCGGTAAAACATCTTTATGGAAAAAAAAAAACTTGGTGGCAAAGACACTGTAATGGTTCTTAACAAATTTATTTTAGATATTTTAAAAAACAAAGTTTAGGCAAAAATCCATTTTTTGCCAGTCCAGTTGATCAGGCCGATAACTTTTCCAGGAAGCTGGACAGTATAATGTTCTGATAAAAAAAAATGTAGTGATTAGGCTAGCAGTTTTCTTCTATGATACAAAAATGTTTAAAAAGTGTTCATAGTCATCCTGATTGATAATAACTTATAAGGTTGCAACATCGTGTTGCAAAATTGTTGATTACATGTTGTAAACTTGTGCAAAATAGTTTTTGAAATGATATGTTGAACATGTTAGTAAAAAAAACTAGTTTGCAACATTTATAATGTCTCACCAACTTTGAATAACTCAATTGTCATAATTTTTACACTGATTTTTTTTTAGTCAAAAATATTCTGAACATGTTTTTAATTTAGAGCAATTAATTAACATCATTTAAAGTTGATGGAGTCCCTTTTTGCACTGTAGATAAAATGTGCTAGTAGACTAGTAGTAAAACATTTGGCTCGCAACCAAAAGGTTGGGGTTCAAATTACCTCTGCTGAAATTACTCAATCTATTTCTCCACACAGTCTCAATCTATTTCTCGACACAGCGCCTTTGTTTAAAAATTTTAGTTGTTAATGTTGTTTGTTAGTAAAAATGGTAATGTTAAGGATTGAGACAAAATATTTTTAAAAAATGAGTTGCTTCCTTGACTGAAATGGTCATTGGAGCAATAGGGAGGTGAATTTATGAAACTAAAAAAAAAATTATTGTACTCATACAATTATAAAAATTTGGTATTCTGATCAATTTTTAAAAAAACCCAAAAAACCCATAAAACCCAATAAAACCCAAAAAAACCCATTTGGGTTGGGTTTTTTTAAAAAACCCTAGGTTTTTTCCAACCCTGATAATAGGACACCCAAATAGTTAAAATAAAAGGAAAATGTTAGTAATACATAAAAAAGACTAATAGTAGATAGATATTATTCAGATCAAATTAAACAAGAATCTATTTCAGTTTATAAACCATTAAGAAAAAAATATGATATTTGTGTTATACTTTTATCATTGGGCTTATTCATAATAATCAATTTACAGAAATAACTATGTAGCTGTTTAGAGACAACGTTCTTCAAATTTTATTCATCACAAAGTTCATTATTTGTACACGAAAACTAATAAATTAATTAAAAGTATTAAAAAAAGTTGATTTCCTTCTGGACAAAACAAGTGCAACTAAACAAAATGTTGACCAAGCTGTATTTTGTTTAAGAATTTTGTTTTAAGAATTTTGTTTAACAACTAAAGGTAAAATGCTACACACATGATTTATCGAATCACAATATTATAAATAATCCATTTCTATTCTTTTATACCTATCTTTTACAACTAATTTAATACGAAAATAAATTAATAAAAAAGACCTCCACATTAACATTCAGTGGTGTAAAAACCAAAATTACTCACATTAAAACTTGAAACTCTTTGACAATGTGAACTTTGCTTGGTGTTCATCAATAAAATGTGAAGAAAAATTATCTTCTTCAATATTTGAATCTGATAACAACTCCATTCAAAAGAAATAATTATAATTAGAACTATAAATAATCCCTCAACCATACCTGTTACTTAATTTAATTTTTCAACCAATTGTGTACTCTTTTAATTTCTGAATTTAAACAATTTCAGCATGCTTTCAATCAATTTTCAATTTTCATATCAAGTTGATTAAAGGGTTATTTAATACAATAGAATGTTGCCAATCATATAAATATATGTAACCAATTTAACAACATTACATATAATAGGACACCCAAATAGTTAAAATAAAAGGAAAATGTTAGTAATACATAAAAAAGACTAATAGCTAGATAGATATTATTCAGATCAAATTAAACAAGAATCTATTTCAGTTTATAAACCATTAAGAAAAAAATATGATATTTGTGTTATACTTTTATCATTGGGCTTATTCATAATAGGTGGCGGAGGTTCTGGCAATGAAGAGCGGTATGATTTGCTATTCTTATTTTTAATGCTTTCTTTAACATATATCTCATCTGATGTAGAAAGTTGTATTCTTCACAACATGAAAATGAATCTAATTATAAAACATTTCGCTACAAAAAAGTAATAAAGTTACCTTTAAAAAAAACACAAAACAAGTTAGATACTGACTATCTGTTACCTTACACTTTATCAATGGAAATTTGTGCCATTCTTTTGTTGACGAAAGGTTGTTTATCAGTGCATGATTATAGTTTTTTTTTGGGACAATAAATTTGTTGCTATTCTTTGTCAATTCAGTGCATAATTACTTGGTTAGAAAAAAATGCAGAAAAACTTTCCTTTAAAGTTGGGTTATGCTTATACTCATTAGGCTTTTGGTCATAAGAGTATTCATTGTACAAAATCAATGACTCATGATGGTCAAAATATTCTTTTAGATTTTCGCAAGATAAGAAATCATTTCTTTTAGAAGTTCCAACATTCGATTTTTTTTATAAATGTACTGATGAAAATTCTAGTATTTTTTAATATTCTTTTTGGACACGTCTACTCAGTAGACGTGTCCAAGATTCATTTATGTCTTTTACAAAAATAGCATACGAAATGAGACGCAGTAGACTACTGCTTCTCTTTTCGTATGCTATTTTTGTAAAAGACATAAATGAATCTTGGTTCCTTGATAAAAACGATAAGTACACAACCAATAAAACAATCTTTTGTGTTATTGAAAAACACTCATATATATATATATATATATATGTAAACATAAATATATATATATATATATATATATATATATATATATATATATATATATATATTAGGGTGGTGCTTAAAACAACTTTTTTGAGAAAAACCTGCTGGTACCCCCTAAATGTGTTTTATCTAATACAAAAACACTAGGTTTAAAATTTTTTTGAACAAAAATTATTTTTAGGGGTAGCTCAAGGCCCTCAAAAATTTGACGGGTCCCTAATATTTTGAAAAAAAAACTTTTTCTAAAGTATGTCAACCTGGTACTCAAAATAAGCAAAATTATATAAAAAGTTTAAAAATGAAAATAATTTTTAATAAAAATAATTTTTTCAGGTATAAATGCATAAAAACTATTGTTTTTAAGCTGAAAATAAAAAAAGTCAATATTTTCAGGTTTTTTGAGAATAATTTTTTTAAGGCATGTTTTTTATGTAAAATGATTATTATTTTTGAAGTTTTTATACAATATCGCTTCTTTTGAGTACCAGGTTGACATACTTTAGAAAAAGTTTTTTTTTCAAAATATTAGGGACCCGTCAAATTTTTGAGGGCCTTGAGCTACCCCTAAAAATAATTTTTGTTCAAAAAAATTTTAAACCTAGTGTTTTTGTATTAGATAAAACACATTTAGGGGGGTACCAGCAGGTTTTTCTCAAAAAAGTTGTTTTAAGGACCACCCTAATATATATATATATATATATATATATATATTATATATATATATATATATATATATTATATATATATATATATATATATATATATATATATATATATACCTATATTTTAATTACATTATCTTTTATTCTAGAAATAAAAATATCAACTTGGAAATATTAATTTTGTAATATTTCTGCAAAATAAAAAAGCATCATATCATCGAAATATTTTGTGAACTATAATAGCATGTTATTTTATTATTTAAAATTTATCAAAAGAAATAATCATTGACGTCTTCCATAGGTTTAATAAAATCTTCATGCTTTTTTCGAAATAAGTTTCCGCAGGGTTTTTAAATGGCGGTCATTTATAATTATCGCTCCATAAAATTAGTTAAAATTTTTTTCTTGTTTTTATAACAAATCTAACAAAGACATCTTATAGACATCTAAGTTTAGATAAGAAAAAAATTATCTATGCACGATCTATTTTATGCATCTAATATGCATCTAAATCAGAGCAAAAATAGTATCTCTAGAATCAGACGTCTTTTTGATCTCTAATATACGTCTAAAATATACGTATCGGCAATAGATACAAATCAGACCAATTTTAGACGGTCTAAAAGACGTCTATTGTTTGCTGGGACATTTGTGTTGTTTTTAAGATTATCTAGAGCATATCGTAACTCATTAATATCTAGTTTAGATTCGTCCATGACCTTATCATATGTTTTTAAATAAGAATCAAACGATGATGAGCCTGAAGGAATTTTTTCAGCTAAGTTTGGACCAATATTAAGAAAGAAGCTGTTTAGATTTTCAGCTACTATTGACTTGTCATATATAATTTTACCATCTACTAAGAGTTTCTTTGGTTGAATACTTATTCCATTATTTTTTCTGCCAATAATTTCTTTAATTACGCTCCACGTACTTTTGGCATTTCTGTTAGTTTTTTTTAACAACTTTGAATAGTAAATTTTTTTTGATTGCTGTTTAGTTTTTTCAAATATATTTTTATAAAGTTTGTAGTTTGTTTCATTTTTATACGTTGTTTTTTTTAAGAATTTTTCATACAACTTTTTTTTTTTCTTTGAAGATTTTAATAAGCCTTTAGACATCCATGGAGCTTGATATGACTTGGTATTTATAACAATTTTTTTCTCCGGAAAAGCTTTTTCATATTGCTCACAAAAAAATTTAAGAAATAGTTAATAGGCATTATTTACCTCTACCGATTGCATTATAAGATCCCAATCAACGTTATATTTTAAAAGGTGTTGAAATTTTTGTAAGGAGTATTTATTGTTCTGCCGCCTGTATATTATAAATTTAGAAGAATTATTATTAATTGTTATATTATTAGTTATTAAAAAAGTAGGAAAATGATCTGATAAGTCTGTTTTGATTATACCTGTGGAAATATAGTTGTTATAAAAATTGTTAGTGATTATATTATCAAGTAAAGTAGAAGATTTCTTAGTTATTCTGGTTGGTTTATTTATTGTTGGAATAACATTATGTTGAAGAAGTTTATCGATAAAATGCTTAATTTTGTTTGAAGCTTGTTTTAACATGTTCAAATTGATATCGCCGACAACGTAAATATGCTTCCGATTTTTATTAACTTTAGTTAAAAATGTGTTTAAGTGAGTCTTAAATTTTTTTAAGTTACCAGATGGCTTTCTATAAATAGCATTAACAACTATATTTTTTGTGGTTTTATTATAAAGTTCAATGCACAATGACTCACAATCTGTTTCATTAACGCATAGGTCATTACGAGGGAAAAAATCAATTGAATTGTGGACAAAAATACTAACGCCTCCGCCACCTTAACTATCGCGTGGTTGATGAATTGACGTGTAATTAATTAAATCAAACTGTGTACTTTGTTTATTGCATTTACACCACGTTTCTGTTAGATAAATAATGCTAAAATCATGTTTTATTTCGTCCACTAAAATATTTAAATTTTCAAAGTTTTTATTTAGACTTCGGATGTTAATATTTAAAATTGAAAATGCGTTTTTATTATTTTTAAGATATTGTGCAGATTGGTAAACTGAGTAGTATTTGCTTTCAAAATTCAATTTGTCAAAACAGTCTGCTTCAGTGTCATTATCATTAATATTTTCATTAGAAAATTGAAATATTGAGTTTTGCTCCATTTTTATACATGGTTTTATATAAAATTTTGAAACATAAATAAAAAATAAAATTACTTATTTAGCTTTTAGATTAAACTCTCTCAATATTAACTTATCGTACTCAATAATAGCATATTTTCCAGCGTTACGCTCAATCTTCATTTTTTCACTTAATTCGCGTCTTATTTTGTTAGTTTCAAATGAAAAATCTTCATTAATAAAAATACCTGTACCTTTCAGCATCTTTGCGCTTTCCAAAATTTTTTCTTTGTCTTTATAATTTAACAGTTTGAGTATGATTGTTCTGGGTTTATTCTCTATTTTCTCTGCGTTAAAGCGTCTTTCGATACGGTGCGCTCGTTCAATAATAATGGTACTTATTTTTAACTGATCATTAAATATTTGTTGAACTTTTTTTCAGTTTGATCCCATGTTTCTTTTTCATTTTCTCGTACACCGTCAATTCTAATATTGTTTCTTCTATTCCTATCTTATAGTTTTCTAATTTTTTCTTGTAGTGCATCATTTAATTTGCTTGCTTTGATCTGCGTTCTTTTTAGCTGTACGGTCTGATTTACAACTTTAGTAATTTCTGTATTCATTAACTTTTTAAGTTCTTTTTCGACGTGTACGAGTTTTTCATTAATTAAGGTATCTTGAGTGAACTCAATACTTTTTTGTAGATCGTCAATACATTTCTGCAAGCTTTGTTGTTTTTTTTCAACTTTTGAAATACGATTTGTTATATTTTCTATTGAATGTAAAATTTTATCCATTTTGTCGTTTTGTATTGAGGCATTTCCTGATACTATTTTTAAAAACAAACTTTCTTGCGCTTTGAACTTTTCCTCCATAATAATTTCAATTTCTTTTTTACTTGCCATTTAATAGATTATGTGTTGAGTATTTTCAGATAATTACTATTTACTAATTAATTAACGGTGAATTTCATCTTTTTTTATTTATAAAAATACGCTAATTTAAAAATGTGCGTCCGTTCACTATGAAAGCCAGATGTGAAAAAAATTAAAATTAATTTAAAAACGTAAAAGATAAATTAAGATAAATGCAAAAGGAAACTTGACGCATAAAGGCTTATTTTGCCACAAACTGATTAATGAGCAAAATTTTTTTGGCTTAACTTTTACATTAGTGTTTAATATTGTTTTTTAGTTTTTAATCATAAGAATGAACTATTTTTTATGACTATATTTTAGTGCTCTAAGA